TAGTAAAAAAAAATTGAAACGAAATGAAAAAAATAGAAGAATGAATGAGAGAGAGAATGTGATGAAGGTGATGAATTAGTCTGCTTGGGCTGCTGTAAGAAATTACCACGATGGTATGAAAAATAGAAATAATTTATTTTCTCACAATTCTGGAGGGTAAAACATCCAAGATCAAGTTTCTGTCAGGGTTTGCTTTCTGGTGAGGGTGCTCTTCCTGGCTTGCAAAAGATCACCTTTTCTCTGTACCCTTACGTGGTAGGGTGAGAGAGTGTGCATGAGGACGAGCACGTCCTCCTCTTCTCACAAAGCCACAGTCCTGTCAGAGTCGGGTGCTACCTTCATGGTTTCACTTAACATCAATTACCTCTTACAAATCCTATCTCCAGATGCAGTCACACTGGGGATTATGGCTTTAACATAGGACTTCGGAGGAACACAATTCAGTCTATAGCAGATGATAACATGGTATTCCGATAAAATCAGTCTATTTGTTGTGTCAGACTGATTTCCATGTGGAAAACTGGAATGCCATGGGGAATACCACATAATTATGACAATAGTAGCACTGCTGTCAGGCCGCAACACTGACAGTTGTTATAAAATGTTGTCTGGCCACGAATGTTTGTTCACCCGATCTTTGCTTCTAAATATGGAAAGTAAAAACAACTTCTTTAGGAAATCGTTTTAATTAAGATCCACAAAATATTTATTCTCCACAGAAGTGAAAGAAGCAAAGAATTCCCAAAAGCAAGGTTATATTTAATTAATCAGCCAGTTAGTTTTTTAAAAGGAAATATATATTATTTAAATATATATATTTAAAAGGAAAAAGTGTAACACTGATGGGGCCGGCATCCACACATAAATGTGTGAGCTAACAGTTCAGCGGGAGAGAGTAACAAAGCGAATTTGTCACACCGGAAATAAAACCTAGGGCTGAGAGAGTGAAAAAACTGGAAGGAGACATACACAGTGGCTTCTGTTAGTTTTAATGTCCTTCAAAATATTGAAGTCTTAAGCTTAGGTATGTGGCTCCTACTTAAATACTGAGCCTGAACTGCAATTAAAAGGTGAGTTCAGATTGCAACTAATAACAATCACTCTGATTTTGAAATCTGGAAAGGAAATCTGTCCACCTCTCTCAGGATCTGTCCTTCTTGCCTCCCCCTCTAAGATCTGAAAGCTTTCCCTGTAAGATCAGGAATAAGGTAAGGGTGCCCACATTCACTACAGCTGTTCAACAGAGTACTGGGAGTACTACAATTAGGCAAAAAAAGAGAAAGAGAGAGAGAGAGAATAAAAGGCAGACAAACTAGAAACAAAAAAATGAAACTATCTGTTTGTAGATGACATGACCATACATGCAGAAAACCCTAAAGACTCAACATCAACAAAAAAAAAAAATCTTAAAACTAATAAATGAGCTGGGAGGGATGCTCATAACTGTAATTCTAGCACTCTGGGAGGCTGAGGCAGGAGGATCGCTTGAGCTCAGAAGTTCGAGACCAACCCTGTCTCTACTAAAAAAAAATATATATACATATGTATGTGTATATATACATATATGTATGTATATATATATATATATATATATATATATATACACATGGGGGAGAGAGAGAGAGAGAGAGAGAGAATTAGCTTGGTGTGGTGGTGTGTTCCTGTAGTCCCAGCTACTCTGGAGGCTGAGGCAAGAGGATTGCTTGAGCCCAGGAGTTTGTGGTTGCAGGAAGCTATGATGATGCCACTGCAATCTCGCTGTGGTGACAGAGTGAGACCCTTGTTTCAAAAACAAACAAACAAACAAAAAAAACTAAAAAAAAAACCACCCAAAACCAAATAAATGGATTCAGTAAAGTTGCAAAATACAAATTCAACATTAAAAAATCAGTCATGTTTCTATATATAAACAATAAACAATATCAAAAAGGAAATATAAAAAACAACCCCATTCACAACAACAAATAAATATTATAAGTAAATACTTACTATAAATAAATACTTAGGAATAAACTTAACCAAAGAGGTAAAAGATTTGCAAACTGAAAATTATAAAACACTAATAAAGGAAATTAAAGACACAGATAATTGGAAAGAACCTCATATTAATGGATTGGAAAAGTTAACATTGTTAGAATGTCCATATGACCCAAAGTGATCTACAAATTCACTGTAGATCAATCCCAATGTACCAAACCCCAATCATATTCTTTACAAAAATAGAAAAAATAACCCAAAAATTCATATGGAATTACAAAAGACCCCAATAATAGCCAAAGAAATGTTGAGCAAGAAGAACAATGCTGGAGGCATCACACTACTTGATTGCAAAGTATGTTACAAAGCTACAGAAATCAAAACAGTGTGATACTGACATAAAGACAGACCCTTGGAGTAGCATAGAGTCCAGAAATAAACCCTTGTATACTTGGTCAAATAATTTTTGACAGGGGTGCCAAGATCATTCAATGTTGAAAGTAGTCTTTTCAACAAATTTTAGTAGAAAATATGGATATCCACATGCAAAAGAATGAAGTTAGACCTTTCTTAATAGCATATACACAAATTAACTCAAATGAATCCATGACCTAAAGCTAACACCTACAACTACTAAACTCTTTGAAGAAAACAGAGGGCAAAATCTTCACAATATTAGATTTGACAATGATTTCTTGAATATGACACCAAAAGCCCAAGTAACAAAAGAAAAAATGACACATTGGACTTTATGAAAATTTTTAAGTTGTGCCTCAGAAAACCGTAATTACCAGACTATAAGCAACCCACAGAATGGGAAAAAATATTTGCAAATCGTTTATGTGATAAGGAATTAATATTCAGAATATTTAGAGAACTTCTAAAACAACCAACCAAACAACCCAATTCAAAAATGGACAAAAGGTTTGAATAGACATTTCTCCAAAGAAGATATATAAATGGACAAAAAACATATGAAAAGATACTCAACATCATTAATCATTAGGGAAATGCAAATCAAAACTACAATGAGATATCAATTCACATCCTTTAAGATGGCTACTATTAAAAAAATAGAAAATAATGTGTTGACTAAAATGTGTAAAAATTGGAATCCTTATGCACTGCTGGTGGGAATGTAAAATGGTATAGCTGCTGTGGAAACATTAATTAAAAATAAAATTACCATATGATCCAGAAATTCTTTTGGGTACCTACTCAAAAGAATTAAAGGTAGAGATATTTGTACACTCATGTTCATAGGAGCATTACTCACAATAGCTAAAGCATGGAAGCAACCCAAGTGTTAATTGGCAGGTGAATGCGTAAGTGAAATGTCATATATACATACAATGTAATATTATTCAGCCTTAAAAGTGGTAGGAAATTCTGACATACGCTACAACATGGATGAACCTTGAGGACATTATGTAAGTGAAATAAGCCAATCACAAAATTACAAATATTGTATAATTCTATTTATATAAGGTATTTAGAGTAGTCAAAATCATAGAGATGGAAAGTAGAATGGTGATTGCCGGGGTCTGAGGGAAAGAGAGAACAGAGAGTTACTATTTAATAGGTACAGTTCAAGTTTTGCAAGGTGAAAAGATTCTGGAGATGGATGCACAGCATGGTGATGGTGATGGTGGTGGTGATGGTGGTGATGGTGGTGGTGGTGGTGGTGGTGATGGTGATGGTGATGGTGATGGTGATGGTGATGGTGATGGTGATGGTGGTGATGGTGATGGTGGTGGTGGTGGTGATGGTGATGGTGATGGTGATGGTGATGGTGATGGTGATGGTGATGGTGATGGTGGTGGTGGTGGTGATGGTGATGGTGGTGATGGTGGTGGTGGTGGTGGTGGTGATGGTGATGGTGGTGATGGTGGTGATGGTGGTGGTGGTGATGGTGATGGTGGTGATGGTGATGTGATGGTGGTGGTGATGGTGGTGGTGGTGGTGGTGGTGATGGTGATGGTGGTGGTGATGGTGGTGATGGTGGTGGTGGTGGTGGTGGTGATGGTGATGGTGGTGGTGGTGATGGTGATGGTGATGGTGGTGGTGGTGGTGGTGGTGGTGATGGTGATGGTGATGGTGATGGTGATGCTGATGGTGGTGATGCTGATGGTGGTGGTGGTGGTGATGGTGATGGTGGTGATGGTGATGCTGATGGTGGTGGTGGTGGTGATGGTGATGGTGATGGTGGTGATGGTGGTGGTGGTGGTGATGGTGGTGGTGGTGGTGTGGTGATGGTGATGGTGATGGTGATGGTGATGGTGATGGTGATGGTGGTGGTGATGGTGGTGGTGGTGGTGATGGTGATGGTGATGGTGGTACAACAATATGATGTTTACCACTGAACTATACACTTAAAAATAGTTGAGAGGCTAAATGTTATGTTATGTTTATTTTACCATAATAAAAATAGGAATAAAAAGAAATAGAGAGAAGATTGCATAAAATAAACTACCATTTGATGGCCTCTTCTTTGTAGAACAGGTTCATACAGTTATGTAGCCATGATAGCACCCTCCACCTCTAACTTGCCTGTCTAAGCACCCAAGTGTCCTTCGTCTAACTACACTGAAAGGAAGAATTAAGTAGTGTTTCCCTTAAAAGTTTTTATGAAAGATATATGTCTCATGCAAAGGACTACATGCCCCTTTCTTTGTGACAGGAGAGAAGTAGGGTTCATGACTGAACTGGGAGAGAGGAAGAGAGGTGGGGGAGAGAGAAAAAAAGGGAGAGGGATCGGGGGAGAGAGAGAGAGAGAAATAGGGAGAGAGGGAGAGATCCTCATAAAACAGAGACCTAGTTGAGATGACGGGGCTCTGTGTAGAATTTCTCATCATGACTAGAATAGTCCATCTCTGTTCCCACTTCAAGGTCAACTGCTAGTGCAGTGTTAGACAGAATCTGCCCGTATTTTGAGAACTTCTCAGAACAATTCTGAGGATTATCCCACCAACATAGTTGAAGGTTTGGGAACATTGCCATGGAGTAATTGAAATGTAAAAGTCATGTTTGACCTCAAAACTGTCTCTTTTCTTCCAGCCATATATAACATAGATGCCACGGAAGAAGAAAATGTGAGTTCTGCCAGCACGTTTGTCTTGTTGGGTTTCTCTGAGCATCCATGGCTAGAGATTCCCCTCTTTGTAGTGGTCCTGGTCTCCTACATCTTCACCCTGATAGGCAACAGCTCCATCATTCTTCTCTCCCTGGTGGATCCCAGACTCCAGACCCCCATGTACTTCTTCCTGGACAATCTCTCTGTGCTAGACCTCTGTGTCACCTGCACCATTGTGCCACAGCTGCTGGCCAACCTCTGGGGACCAGAGAAGACAATTGCTTCCTGGGGCTGCATCATGCAGGCCTACCTTTTCCACTGGACAGGCTGCACTGAATGTGTCCTGCTGGCAATGATGGCTTTCGATCGTTAGGTGGCTATCTGCAGGCCCCTCCAGTACACTCTCATCATGCGTCCCCGGGTGTGTGGACAGATGGAAGCTGCAGCCTGGTCCAATGGCCTGGCCAATTCCCTGCTCCAAGCCACACTCACCCTCCAGCTTCACCTCTGTGATCACCGCACCCTGGATCACTTCTTCTGCGAGGTGCCTGTTCTGATCAAGCTGGTCTGTAGTGACACCACTGCTAATGATCTGTCCTTAGCCGTGGGAGCCATCCCCTTTGCACTGGTGGCTCCCCTGCTTGTGCTCATCTCCTATGCCTTCATTGCTAGGGCTGTACTGAAGTTACCATCAGCTGAAGGAAGGTATAAGGCTCTCAGCACCTGCAGTTCCCACTTGGTGGTCGTCATCATGTACTTTGGGCCAGCAATCTACATGTACCTCCATTCCCCCGCCAACAGTACCCAGGCCAAGTTCATGTCCTTCTTCTACTGTGTTATCACTCCGCTGCTCAATCCACTCATCTACACCCTGAGAAATAAAGATGTGAAGAGAGCATGGAATCCTACAATCCTGGGGTGGGGTGAAGTCTTAAAAAGCCAGATCATCTCTGCCTGTCTCCTGGAACAATGGCATGCACACATCAGTTAATATTAGCATGTCTGCCAGCCTGAGCACAAGTGAGACCCTATCTCTACAACAAAATAGAAAAATTAGCCAGGTGTGCTGGCACGTGCCTGTAGTACCAGCTACTTGGGAGGCTGAGATAGGAGGATCACTTGAGCCCAGGAGTTTGAAGTTGCAGTGAGCTAGGCTGACACCACTGCACTCTACCCAGGGTACAAAGTGAGCTCGTGGGCGCTCGCGCTCTCTCTCTCGCTCTCTCTATACACACACACACACACCCACACACACACACACACGTGCATGTCTAGTTTTCCAAATGAGTGTCCACAAGCTCCAAGGAAACAGTTCCCATCTCTCAACATCAACCACCCTGATGGTGAGAGAAACTCTTTCAGCTAGAAAGTGCTACCTTCTGAAATCTCAAGTAGCGCCATTGTACTTCTCTAGGCCCTTCCCAAATGTCTTGCTCTCAGTGGACAGACAGGATGAGCAGCGTGGTCCACACCTCTGTGGGAGGGTAAGCAGTACCTCTTTTCAAATTCCTTCCTCTAAATTCTCCCCTTTAGTAGATACCCTCCAGGAAAATTTGCAGGAAAACTTTCTAACAGATCCCAAGAAGATTTTTAAATAAAACTTTCACTGAATTTATCATATCTTCTGCTCAAGCTGTTCTATCTTCTCTTGTCCTGAACATCTCATGTTCTCTCTCCTTACTCAAACACCTTGTCACTCTGCAATTTGTCATATCCTTACTTCATCCTTCCTCACAATCCATCTGTATCATTTATTTCAGATAATAATTTCAACCTCAACATAACAGATTTACTTCACTTCTATCAATTAATTCACGATGAATATGATTCAAAATGTCTTTATATTTCTTATGTCTTTATAAACCATCACCCGCATTTGTCTAATTTCTCTATTTCACTGTATGCTTTTAACAATTAGAGATGACCCTCTTCCCTTGTGTATTGACCCATAAACATTAGGCTCTAAATGCTAAGACACTAGACAAGGAGCAGTGATTGAACAGAGATTTGAAAAGGATTAATTAAGTACATAGGGAAGTCCCACTCATTGGGGACCAAGAAGCACATAATATCCCTGTTGAATTTGTCCCTTCCAATGCCATGGACAACTCCCTTTTTTGGACAATGCCTTCTTTTGATCTCTCATAACAAAAACAGAGGGCAAGATTTTAGTTCATTATGAAACTTGAAGCAAAAAGTTTTATACCATCACTTTATTCTCTACCCATAATATTATTTGACAGCAGATACCACCAAAAACTAGATTCAAGCCTCTCCTTTTTGAAATGCCTTCCTTTTTCCATGTATCTGAACAGAAATTTACTCCCCAGCCCATGATTTTAGAGATAAAAACAAATGCTTTCTCATAATGAGGCATCTGCTTCAAAGTGGTCACGACTCTGAACTTCTGACCCCTCTCTAACCTTTCCTATGGCAGAGAAAACAGTCCAGATTGGTATCAAATTAAAGCTCTGTTACCTCATTTGAATCAGATTTGATGGGCAGGTGGGTCTCTTATCTTTATAACTTCAAAGAATAAGCATGTATACTTTTTTCCCAGAAATTCTGAAAACATAACATGTTCTGCTTGTTGCAACTTTTGAAATTTGTCTTTCAAAATAGAGTGCAGAAAAATCCTGCTGTAAACTATTTTCAATGTTGGATTATTAACACAGAACTTGTTTTCCAAAAGGGGAAAGCATTAAGGGCCTCAGGACCCTTAATGGGAAATTGAACAGTAGTGTTTCCAGTGGGTACTCTAGAGAGACCCCTGTCAAGAACAGAGGTTTGTGTCTGAGGTGGAAAATTTTGGAACTAGGGAGCATTGATTTACAGAGGGAGGTATTAAAGAGCAAAACCAACTGCTCAGACCATCACAGAAGATTGTTAGGAACACGCTTCCGTCTTTAGTATAAGCACAAACTCATATACTCAACACAAACACATATACTCATGAACTCATATACTCTGTGCAATATAGTTTTTTAAAACCCACAAGAAACAACTTATATAGAACAGAAGTGACTAGAAAAGACAACAGGGAGAAGAGTACAGTCCTTGCATCAGCAAGCCAATGCACTCTTCTCTGTCCCAGCAAGTCTCCCCGACTTATCAAATGCCTGTGGTCCACAAGGAATCAAAAGCCAAAAGCAGCAGCGGCTTGACAGATGCGCTCACCGACTGTGAGAGCTTTATCCACCCATCTGCACTGAATGCACTATGAGAATGTGTCTGCTGTGTGATAAGTTCAGGGATTCCTCCTTTTCAGATGAGGCAGCTCTTCCTTTTGACTCTTCAGATGCATTTCCGTGGTTAGTATTCTGCTATTTAAAAAAAAAAAAACAAAACTATGATTCATTTTGTAGCTTTTCTTGGTTACAATCTAGATACAAAGTTTCCTGCAGGACATTCTGCTTGAGCTTGATAACAGAAACATGTTCATAAATAGCAATAAGAGTAGATTGTATCTCTGAATGACTCATTTCAGCCATTGAGTGGCTTTGCTCAAATGACTCTCAGGATGAGCTTGTCTTTGCTTTACCCGAAAAACCTTAGGGGGACTTGCTGTGGATCCCTGCTATGGACTGAAAGACCTTAGCTTGTCTGGGTTTGTAGAATCTTTACGGAAATACCTGCCAGCCTCCCATTTCACACATTCTTAGTCCGTACATTGTCCCCAAAATAAAACCAACACAGTCATCCCACGGCAACCCACAGTGTCAATAATGAGTTGCTTTTGCTCAACTCGATCACCATTGACCCCAGTTTTGAAATCTACCACAAAGGCAAAGGTTTAACAAAAAGCAGTTAAAAGAATTACTCTAGACTTTTCTGTTTCAAACACTGTGGCCCCTAAGACAATTATGCATAAGAGACATTCGAGCTCCACCAGAAAGGGTGGTGTGAAGACAGTTCTCCTCGCAGGGTTCCCAGCTTTGGAGAACTCAATGAGCCCCTCAGCTTCTTCAAGACCCTGGAGTCTAATGGTGCTCATGATGGAGTGGCAACGTGGGACTCTGTAAGGCAGATTTGTCCACCCACAGGTGCTTAGAGGCTTATAGATGGTGTGAGGAGATAACACTGAGCTAGACCTTGCAGGATGCAGTGAAATTTTCTGGATGAGAAAGGAAGCAGGGAGAATATTCTAAGAAAGAAAGAGCATCTTAAAGGTATATCCAATTTTTGGGAAACTGCCCCCACTGAACTCCATAAGCAAATCCAGTCCTCATTTTCAAACGAACCAGGCTAATCAGACTTATTCTTCATCTGAAGAGGCCTCTGAATGTTTTAAATTTTAAAAGTGTGTTAAAAATGCATTCCCCAGTCTAGGCAACCTAGCAAGACCCCATCACTACAAAAAGTTTAAAAATTAGCTGGGTGTGGTGTCACACGCCTGTAGTCCCAGCTACCTGGGAGACTGAGGCAGGAGGATTGCTTGAGCTCAGGCATTTGAGGCTACAGTGAGCTATGATTGTGCCCCTGCACTCCAACCTACGTGACAAAGGGAGTCTCTAAGTAAGTAAATAAATAAATAATAAAAATAAAAATGCATCCTTGTGACATCCTTCTCAAGTCTGAATTCTAACTATAAAATAGATATTAACAAAGATATGAGAAATGGAGAAAAGGGAAACCAGTGCAAATTGATAGGCATGAATGGAGGAGAGAGAAGTCCTGGAGTCTCAGCAAGTTTGTCTCCTGCGGGGAATCAGGCGACACTGTCTTCAATATTTCCTTCCTAAAATTTCTTTATTCTTTTAGTATTCTCTGTCATAAATGATACTTTAAAAAAATATTCCTTTGTTTGGTGAGTATTTGGGACTATAGAGCAATGCTTCTTAGTCATATTCAGGAAAGGTAAAAGAAATGCTTTTTTATTGTGGAGCGGGGAAGAGTGATTGTGAAAGCGGGATGGAGAAGGGGACCAGCAGTCGGCCTCTGGGCTGTCAGGCAGATCCATTGCAGGAAGAATGACAAGTGAGAGCTGAAGATGCCTTCTCTAGTATCCCTCAGTGTGGTCTTTCAGTTCTACGTAATACTCACACAGCCTTTGAGAATTTCAGAAATTATTTCACTCTAGAATAAGAGATGAGACAGGATAGAAGCTACCTGGTCCCTGAAGCTAAAAATTGAAACAAACAATGTTATCTTAAAGAAAAATGAGTACTTAGTGAGCAAGTCTTGCCAGTAATGTGCCCTGAAATATCTGAAATATTCCTCAAAGCAGAACAAGGAAGAACAAGAAGCTGCAGAGGCAGAAACGCACAGGGATCTCAATGGACAGACTCAGAGAACTGAAACCGCAGTGTAACCAGAGAGCTTTAAGTAAAACCAGCGGACAAGGAGCATCGTAAAGATTTGCTGGTAGCTCGTTCACATGGAGATCACTGCTGGGTAAAGGAAACTCACACACCGTACAGACTGGGGAGGAAAGAGTCCAGCCACTATAAAGAATGAATGAGGTCTTAACCAGTGTGAACCAAAATAAAATTTTAAGGCTCACCCCCACCTCCTACCCCCTTCACCGGCTGACTGAATGGACCCCTTCGTGGCCAAAGGAATATCCAAAAACTAAATTGCCCGCCAGGAGGAGGGAGGTCAGACATGCCTTATCATGTCCCCTCCCTTCTTGGAGACATCATTTATAACCCATTAACAGGCCTAAGGGTATGGAAGACAAACCTGCAGGTCCTCAATTTACACAACTAATCTATGTCCAATGGCTTATCTCTGATAAACAGCTCCTTATGTTGAAACATTCGAAGCCTTTAGACAAAGCTTCATGTCTTTAACCTATTACAAGCCAAAGAATCTTTAAACCCACCTATAACCTGTAAGCTCCCCCTTCGAGATGGCCCACCTTTTTGGGCCACACCAATGTATGCCTCCCACGTATTGATTGATGACTTTACCTATAACCCCTGTCTCCCTGAAATGTATGAAACCAAACTGTAACCCAACAACAGTGAGTCCACTGCTTAAGGCTGCTTG